CAAATCCGAAATGACGCACAAGAACCCGTCCTTGCGGACTGGGTCGACCGTCCCCGATAAGGCGGCCTCGTCACGGGCAAAGAGCCCCGCGCCAGGCACCAAGCCCAAGCCCGAGAGCATGCGGGTTAAGAAGCCGCCGAAGATGGAGCTCGAGGGCAACAAGTGGACAGTCGTATGTTTTCCCCTACCAATTTCCCCCGCAGCCAGTAATGAAATGAAATGAAAAAATGCCCCGGCTAACAAAGACAAAACCTTTTCCCAGGAAAACTTCGACAAGGAACCCGCCCCGATCGAGCTCGAGGTCTCGCTCTCGCACTCGGTCCTCATCTCCAAGTGCAGCAACACGACCGTCATCCTCCGGGGCAAGGCCAACGCGGTCACGGTCGAGAACACCAACCGGCTCTCGCTCGTCGTCGAGTCGCTCGTGTCGACGGTCGACGTGGTCAAGTCGCAGAACTTTGCCCTGCAGGTGCTCGAGACCATCCCGACGGTGCTCCTGGACCAGGTCGACGGCGCCCAGGTCTACCTGAGCGCCGGGAGCGCCGCCGCCCGCGTCTACTCGAGCAAGTCAGCCAGCGTCAACCTCAACGTGATCCCCGCCGGCGAGGAGGACTACAAGGAGATCCCGCTGCCGAGCCAGATCTGCTCGTGGTTCGACGCCGAGAAGGGGGATGTGCTGAACGAGATTGTTTCGCACGCTGGGTAGTAGGTGGGGCGCACTCGAGTAGGATAGGCATAGGTGGCCAAAGGCGCAGTTGGGGTATTGTAGTTTTTGGATGGATGGGGTGTGACAGAGAGGAGGGACGAAGACGGAAGTTGAGTCGTTGACCTCGAATGTGGATGGCCGTATAGATATCGAGTGGTAGTTGTAGAGAAAGTATGTAAAGAAAGCAGTGGGTTCTGCCATGCCGCGTCGGAGCTATTATGAGCTTATCCTGGCCTGGGAGGCTCACAAACATGGAAATGTCAGCCGTTTCAGTAGTAAATACAAACGAGCTACAAAACATCGATCTATCGTATAGACGGTTGGGCGAGCTCTAGACATGCATGCACCGCTCCCAAGGGCAAAGAAATATTCCTCCCAGACTACGAAGGAAGAAACCATGTCCCAAGATGTCCCGATGCCCGATCCTTAGCCCTCCGAGTATCCAATCAATGATGCCGTCCCCGACTCGACTAAGCAAAACACAGACTTCTGACGCTCAAAGCTTGGCCTTGGGCGCCTCGAGCGCGGGCATCAGCATGTCACGCATGTCGCCGGCCGCCTCGTTGAGGTAGAAGCTCATCCTGTCGCTGCCGAGGCCCTTGGAGACGATGTTGAAGTTGATGCTACAGCACAGACACATCAAGATTAGCCAACGGTTTCATCTTGTAGAAAAAAGAAAAAGACAAAAGAAAAAAAAGGGGGCGTACCTGTTCTCATTGATCATGTACGCAATTCCAAACCCGTCGTCAATGACCTGGCTCCAGCCGTAGCCGTTAAAGTACTCGGAGCTCAGCTGGCTGGTGGACAGGTACCACGAGGACGAGTAGGAGTAGGCCGGGTCCCGGTAGAGGGCGGGCAGCTCCTGGCCGGGCTCGAGCAGGCGCTTGAGGCCAAACAGGTGGCGGTCGACGCCCTTGCCGTCCGAGGCGGCGCCGATGTACTCGAGATGGGCGTCGATGGCCTTGCGGAAGAGGGCGGCGCGCGCCGCGTCGCCGAGGCTCTCGTCCGCCATGGACCGGCACCACGCCACGCTGTCCTCGGACACGGAGCGGCACGTCTCGGTGCGCCCCAGCTGGAAGCGCCGGGTGGCGGCGGACTCGTATGTGGGCCGGTTCTTGCCGTACATCTTGAAGTAGGCCAGCTGGATGATCATCTGCACGTAGGCGTCGGGCGAGCACTTGAACTTCTTGATGAGGCCCTTGCCGTAGCCCTGGTAGGCCTGCACGGCGAGCTGGTGCTGCCCGATGACGTTGGTAAAGTCGCGCACGGCGCGGTCGATCTCGACCTGCACCTCCTTGGTGACGACGAACTTGACGGGCTGGGGCTCGGGGAGGTTGGAGCGGACGGTGGGGTCCGAGAAGTCGAGCTTGTTCTTGACGATGAGCTCGTTGACGTAGTCGTTGAGCCGGTGGGTGGGCGTGCCGTCCATCATGCTGTGCTCGCCCATGAAACCCGACGTGCCGTTCTCGTTGACGATGAACTGCAGCGGCTTGTCGTACCACCGGTTCTGGCCGTCACCGTGCCAGTAGGCGTGGGCGCGCTCCTCGAGGGTGACGGGCTTGGCGTCGTCCAAGCAGATTACGAAAGAGGCCGACTCGACGGCCTCGATAGCCTTGGCGTTGGTCGGGTCGGCGGCGAGCAGCACCGCCCGCGCCTCGGTCCAGACATCGCGGTTCTCCGACGTCAGGGCGCCGACGGCAGGGACGCGCTCGCCGGCCAGCTCGTACACGCGGCGGAAGGACTGCTCGAGCTCCGAGGTGTTGAGCTGCTTGCCGGCAACTTCGTGGGCGACCTTGAAGAACTGGTTCTTGCGGATGACGAGGATGTGCTTGTTCTGGGCGTGGTCGAACTTGACCGGGTAATCGGCGGGCTTGGCGGGCACGCGGCAGGCGTTAAACATCCACTTGTAGCTGTCCATGCAGATGGGCAGCTTCTTCATGTACTCGGGCTCGAGGTTGCCCGAGTCAACTTGCTTCTTGAACTCGAGCACGGCCGATGAGATGGCAGCGGCGCGCTTGGCGGGGTCCCGGCGCCTCCGGTCATCGCGGTGCGAGTAGAAGTAGCTGACGTAGGGCACCACGGGGTCGCGGTAGCTGAGGTAGGCCGCGTCGTTCCACCACTCGTACATCCAGTTCTTGGTCTTGGGGTCCTCACGCCTGGCGACCAGCTTCTCCTGCAGCTTCCGGCCGGGGCCGTTGGGGGCGATGAAGTCCTGCACCGCCTTGGTGCTGGCCTCAAGCTCCGAGGGTGTGAGCAGCGGCCGCAGCGACTTGACGTACCGCGCAGCCGTCTCCTCTAGTGTGGGAACGGGCAGGCGAGGGAGCGAGTCCTGGAAGCGGAGCATGGGCCCCTTGGACTTGTCCTCGACGTACCCCGCCGGGAGGGTGCTGTTGTTCCGTCTTGCCGCGGGAGCCATGGCTGTGAGTCTCTGGATTCCCCGGTGTTAGCAGATGTCGCGACGAGGAGTTGGAGGCGTCAAGGTCACGGGCGGAAGAGAGGAGCTACTGACCAGGGGTGTCGTCGTCTGCTTGAAGAGGAGGTTTCGAAGTGTGGGAGACCGAGCCTCTGTCCTTGCGATCTTGGCCAACATCCCAACTTTTTGTCTAGGAGTGGAGTTGGAAGACACACACTGGGGAAGAGAGATAAGAAAATGAAAATAAAATTAAGCAGCACACAAGAGTTTGGCGCGTTCACTGGTCGCCGGGGAGAAGACCGCTCTGGGGAATCCAACTCAGGTACCGGGAAGAGGATTGTCCGAGGTGGGTTCACTTGACACTCCAACTGGGGTCCGACAGCCGCGGGAGATTGAAGACCAGGTGTGCAAGGTCGGTCCCTCTTTCGACGAGGCTGCTCCACGAGCCTAGGCAGTTCCTTAGGGTTCGGGGGTCCGTTGCATCGGCAGCAACGGGACAATGCAACTGGTAGAGATTGCGCGCAGTGTTGGGTGTTGCTGGTTGCATGTTTGCGGGACGATTTCCAGGTTGCTGGTGGGCAGGAGCCCACTTGAGCCGAGGCTAATTGCCGTCACTAGCCTGGGCGCGCAGTCTTGCTGCCGCGGGTAAGAATCGTGGGGTAGCGAGCCGGCGCGCCAATTCCTGTCCCGCCGAGCCCGCCCCTTTCTCCATGCCATTGGCCAGCAGGCATTCCCTGTTGCCGAAGACGGCTCGCACAGTTCACGCGCCACAACTGACGTCGCGTGGGTGGCAGGGTGGCAGGGCGGCTCGCTGGCTACGGGCTAGCGGATGGATACCTGCTCCACTGTTCCAAAACGGGCCTTCACATGCAAACGCCTGAGCGCCTCCCGTGATGTTCAAGTTGTGCGACCAAGCCAAGCTCGAGCAAGGTTGACGATAAGAATTGTCTGAGGCCATCTCCATTACTGCTGTGCGACGTAGTTCTGAAGTTGACTTGCTTCTAGTTCGGTTGACTCGATGTACGGATAGTAACTGATCAAATTCTTTACAACTTGCTAACGTCGTATTCTACTCCTAACCCTGGCATCCCACTGATTCCGTGTGTTATACTGTACCCCGACATCTTTCGACATCTTTCCACCCCCAACATCATCATCACCTTTATCCCCTTGATTATTATCGTTCTCATTCTGAAACACTGCCACTCCATTAGATATACGAGTAACAATCCCGCCGTCCTACACAATGGCAGATGGGAACATATATCGAGGAGAGATAGGGAGGAGACAGAGAGTGAAGAGAGGAAGTGGTGAGAGAGTACATGCCCGGCACACCAGCACCAATCGCTCCAAATCTCATCAGGGGATCAACAGCACCCAGCCGACTTTCCCCTTGGAAAAGGTTGACACAAGAGGATACAACAGCAACTCCGCGTGATAAACAACCGGGACGCGGCCAAGTATCAGGCAGCCAGTGGCATACATCCCGGAGTTACCTACAGATCCAGCGCCATCTCGATCAACGTACCAAGCACTTTAATAAGCTGCTCATCCCGCCGAGATGTCCCCCACCGCGAGACAGACGGCAATATCGGGCCGCTTCATGTTTGCAACCCAGGTCCGGTGCAACAAGGACATGTAATCGTCCAGTGTCGCTGACCTCGGAAGGCAGACACGCTGCCTGCAACGGTGGGAACAGCACCCCCCACGTTTTGTCGGGCCGCACTCCGTCCAAGAGTATTCGAGAATACTAAGGATTATATGTTTCTGGTATTTCTTGATCAATCCCCGTCGAGTTACGAAACTCGCTGGATTGTTCGGAGTTACCAAGTCCCGTAGTAGAGCCCTATCTAACTCATTATTCTTGCAATAAGCGAAAATGGCTGGATGGCCGAGCGGTCTAAGGCGGAGGATTTAAGTTGGACTTATTCTTAACACTCCTCTTCTCGAGAGAGAGCGTGGGTTCGAACCCCACTCCAGTCATGTACGGTTTTTTATGCCACTTTGCTCGTGTCTTCGCTTTGGCAGAAATGTTGTCAACCTCCATCAGGTTTCAACTCTTCACAGTTGGACCGTCTTTGGTACTCCTATTTTGACATTTGTAGTTTGAATCGTGGACGGGTTGAATGAAGTCAACACGCCTCCAGATACCTTAACTAACCGAGGGACATTTGCACTCATCACCTTTCCTTCCATCCTGCAGTTAGTACTAGAAAACCGAAACCGTTTCATACAAAACTCCAACTCCAACTTCACACACTGGACTGCAACCTGAAACCCAAGATCCATCATCAAATACGAAACTCCCATCCCACTCCCCTGTTCACTGATCTCTCCCCCCCTCTCACTCTCATTCTTTCCCCACTTCTTGGAAACTCTCACCTCCACCTCGCCCCAGCCCTCCCCTCCTCAGCCGCCCGCCCACTCACATTCCTCCTACCCATGCCGCCGCCGCCGCCGGCCGTGCCGAGATCAAACCCGCCGAAATCATTCCCGCTCGACACCACCCTCGCATTCCCATTCCCATTCCCATTCCCATTCTCATTCTCATCCCCATAACTACTCTCATCGAAACCACCACCGACCATGACAGGCGGCGTCCCCGCGCGCAGCTGGCCGTAGGGCTTGGAATAGGCGGCGCTCAGGAGGAAGTCGGCGTCGGGCTGGATCGAGCTGGTCCTGTTGCGCGGGGTATGAGCAGCAGCGACAGCCTGGTCGGCGATGTCGCGGCTTCCCGAGACGCGGCGGTCGTTGAGGGAGAGGTCGGAGAGTATGAGGGATTTGCGGAGGCGCGAAAAGGGGGTGCGGGGGCGGCGCGGGGTGGATGATGATGAGGATGATTTCGGGTCTGTTTCTCTCCTGGAAGAAGGGGGGAGATGGGGAGGGGGAGGGGGAGGGGTGGTGATTGTTGTGGGGGTTGTGGTTGTTGGGTGGGAGCGGAGCGGGTTGGGGTGGTTGTCGGTGTTGCCTCGCGCGGGAGTGTAGTAGGTGTCGTTGTCCGAGTCGTCCGACTCCGAGGCGGACAGGGAGGCGTAGATGCCGCCGCGGTGGGTGGACGCGCGGTTGCGCTGCTCGGTGCGGTTGATCAGCGACTCGGAGGCGTACCACGTCTCGGTGAACTTGGCCGAGCGCGGCTGGGCTGTCTGGGCGGCCGGGACGGGCTCCGGGCGGTAGGATGCCACGGAGCCTGTGCTGGGGCGCGAGGCGTGCATGGATGTCGGGCGGATGGGGCCGGCGCCGGTCTCGCCGAGCGGGACTTCCATGTACGAGGCCCGGTGGGCTGCCGGGGGTGCCGACATGCGCTTCAGGTCCTGCGAGGTGGCCGAGCTGCGGTTGCCGGGGGCGACTTGGTACTGGCGACTGGGCAGGTTCAGGCGCGAGTCGCGAGAGGTGAAGGACGTCTCCGAGTTCTGGCGGGTGTGCATGAAGGGGATCGACGGCGGCCGGGAGCTGTCGTCGTACAGCTGGGCTTCGGGCTTCTCGTCCGAGAAGGTCGACGAGGTGGCGACCGACGACTTGTTGCGCTTGTGCACGCGCGAGGTCAGGTTGGCCTCGAGGGGGTTCATGTCCGGGGGCATGTGGGCGATGCGGCGGAACATCCAGCCGAGCCACAACGAAATGGCCAGGGAGAGCAGATGCAGGCCGCCAGCGGCAATCAGGCCGTAGTAGACAGACGGCACCATGTACCTCACGGTGTCGGTGTTGGCGAGGTCAGTCGTCTTCCATTCCTCGCCCTTGCTCCGGGTGGTGAAGGCGCCATAGGCGTACAGAGGAGCCACGCAGAGGTCCGACAGACCGGAGAAGATGTGGTAGGCAGATGAAGAGCCGGGCGTCTTGGAGACTGCCGGTCGGGCATGGTGATAGATGCTGTAGAGGCAGAACAGGACCACGACGCCGCACTGGACAAGGTGCACTTGTGGTCAGCAAAATTGTGGGAAGGCCACACAATCATCAGCCAGCAACTCACTGTTGCACCCATGATCCATCCGATCAGCCCCGACAGGCCCATGACGACGATGATGCCGGCGGCGGCGACGGCCTCGAGGACTCTGAGACACAGCTGCACGACGCGCATGCCCTTGATCCAGCCCTTTGTCCGGCGGCCCATTGGCCTGAAGCCGGATCGACCATTAGGCACCATGTGGGCACTGTCATGGTTAGTCATGATCCGAGGAATGCGACTCTGTCACGGAGCCCTGGAATGTAGACTGAGCGAGACACATACTCGGGATGGCGGTTGACTGAGACAAGCGGCCCGTTGGGCTTGGGTTTCAGCTTCTTTCTCTCGTAGCTCGCCCGAGTCACTGCTTTCGGGTCGAATGGAGCTGCTGGGAATCGGTCATCATCTCTCCGGACGGCGTCGTACAAGTACGGCTGCTGAGTCCTCCCCATTGTGTGGTGATCTTGGTTATGTTGCCCTCGGCACACAAAGGAGGAATTTGAGGTTGAAGAAGGAATAGACGATTATGCAATGCGACTTGGGTTTTGACTGGAATGCATATGAGAGCATTCCTGACTAGTAGTCGTTTTCTTCCGGTGGGTGGGAAGTGCCAGGTTCTTTGATCTGTTTGAGGCCTGCCCGGAGCTTGCACCCGGTAGTTGACGGGGCAACCGTGTAACAACTAAGCTAAGCGCTGTGTGACTGCGGCCAAATCACTGGGGCTGAGAGCAAGGGTGCAGTGAGTATGACACCTCCTGATTGGAACAAAACTGAAGTTACGAGTGTATTTGAGCCTGTCACACATCACGGTCTGTTTCCTGCTTAGATTGGCTTCTTCAGGGCGTTGTGCATCATCCGCAGTGGCACCGGCGATGCACTGGCTTTGACCGGGGCGGGACCCACTAGCCACAGGCACCGGCCGACTGCATCCGGCCCGGGGTTGACTCAATTGAATGATCGCCTCTCTCGTCCTGTCTTGTACTGGACAACGATAAAGCCCGTGAATACCAAAAGTCATGTTTTTTATCCGGTGCACCAAGTCGCGGCCATGGGCGAATTCACACCTGAAACTAGCATCGATCCGTCCCTTTTTCCGCGCACTTCCTTCTCGGACGCTGTCAACGGCGCAGAGCACCCGTGATGGGAGGCCGTTCCGACTGGCTGTCATCGGCTCCGGGCCGGCCGGATTCTACACGGCGTACAGGGCCATGACCAGGATCCAGAATGCCAGGGTCGACATGTACGAGGCACTGCCCGTCCCCTATGGTTTGGTCCGATTTGGTGTCGCCCCAGACCACCCGGAGGTAAAGGTGTGTATGAGAATCATCCCTTGGGTCAAAAAAAAGGGGGAAAAAAGGAAAGGAAAGAAGAAGAAAAGCCTATTTTAACGTCGTGTTCAGAACTGCCAGGAAAAGTTCGAAGAAGTCGCTTCGTCTCCCAACTTCACCTTCATCGGCAACGTCTCCATCGGCACCAAGAGCGACCACCCAGACGGCGGGACCATCCCCCTGGCCAGCATCCTGCGCCATTACCACGCCGTCGTCTTCTCGTACGGCGCGGCCAAGGACAGGACGCTCGGGATCCCGGGGGAGCATGTAAAGGGTGTCTACTCAGCCCGCCAATTCGTAGGCTGGTACAACGGCCTCCCCGAGCACGCCAATCTCGCCCCGGATCTCACGCGGGGAGACGAGGCCGTCATCATCGGCCAGGGCAACGTGGCCCTCGACGTGGCCCGGATGCTGCTCGAGGACGTCGACGTGCTCCGCAAATCCGACATTGCCGAGCACGCCATCGAGACCCTCTCCAAGAGCAAGGTCAGGAGGGTGCACATTGTCGGCCGCCGCGGGCCCATGCAGGCCGCCTTCACCATCAAAGAAATCCGCGAGCTCCTGCGCCTGCCTTCCGTGGCCTTCCACCCGATCGACACGTCCCTCGTCCCCCAAGACATCAAGTCCCTGCCGCGCGCCCCTCGCCGGCTCATGGACATCCTCCTCCAAGACTCGCCCACGCCTCCCACACACTGCTCACCCCCCACCCAAACAAAGCAACAAAAGTCCTGGTCCCTCGACTTCCTCCTCAGCCCAACCGCCTTCCTCCCCTCCCCCGCCGACCCCGCCCGCCTCGCAGCCACAAAGTTCACCCGCACGACCCTCTCGGACCCCTTCGACCCGGCCGCCTACGCCCTGCCCACCACCGATGCCGATCCCCACACGATCCCCAGCGCGCTCGCCTTCCGCTCCGTCGGCTACCAGTCAACGCCCCTCCCCGAGTTCGCCCCGCTGGGCATCCCCTTCAGCGACCGGCACGGCGTCATCAGCAACGACGGCCGCGGCCGCGTGCAGCACGAGGAGCGCGCCGCCGACGCCTCGATGCGCATCGGCCGCTTCCCGGGCCTGTACTGCGCCGGCTGGGTGAAGAGGGGCCCCACGGGCGTCATCGCGTCCACCATGCAGGACGCCTTCTCCACGGCCGACGCCATGGCTGAGGACTGGGCGGATGGGAGGGTGGCGTTTTTGAATGATAAGGGGAGAGATGTGGGCGGGTGGGATGGGGTAAAGGGGGAGGGGATGAGCGGGGTGAGGGTTGTGGATTGGGAGGGGTGGAGGAGGATTGATCGGGCTGAGAGGGAGAGGGGGGCGAGGGTGGGAAAGGAGAGGGAGAAGTTTACGCGGACGGGGGATATGCTTGCTGTTTTGGGGTGATGGGTTATGATAGGGTGGGTTGTGTTGGATGTATGTAGGTATGTAAGATGGATATCCGGTGATGAGACTTTGTACATTTTTTACTGCAGACTCTAGGACTACGTCTTCTTCAGCTTCTCCGACAGCTCGGGCACCTTGTCAAACAGATCCCCTACCAAGCCGACATCGGCCACCTGGAAGATGGGCGCCTCGGCGTCCTTGTTGATGGCCGCAATCACCTTGCTGTCCTTCATGCCCGCCAGGTGCTGGATCGCCCCGGAGATGCCCACCGCCATGTACAGCTGCGGCGCCACCACCTTGCCCGTCTGCCCCACCTGCAGGCTGTTGTCGGCGTACCCGCT